TGTAGATGTGAGTAAGGGGCTTAACTATCTGCGCCCCACATAACTTGATAATTTTATTAGACAACCCATCGTATCCACTAGAGGTCTTATTCTTTAATGAAAAAATTGTGCTTAAGACTTCCGCTGAAGTAATGGGAACATTAACTATATATGGATGGCTGCCAAAAAGGCTACATCTAATTGTGGGATGTGCACCTTCATTGTTAGGAAGCTGACTAATTATCTGATCTACTGAGTCTATGAAGAATGTGTTAAAAGACTCAGCTGCTGTATTAATGTGGATTGTTTTCTTATCACATCTTAATTCTGTGGGAATAAACTAACAACTTTGTTGTTAGTAATTTTCCATGACACCTTGGATTTGTTAGTGGATTTGGTTAACAAATCATTATAATACATTTCTTTGCTTTATAGATCACCTTTCTTAATATGGAACAATATCGAGTATAATACTCTTTTAATTTAGGACAACTAGTTACTCTACTCATCATGTAAAGATATTTTTTACGCCTACAGGACACTCTAATTCCATTAGTAATCCACTGATTATTATACACAGTATTTACCACAGATTGCATAGGAAAACATGATTCAAAATTAACTAAAAAGGTACTCAAAAATTTATTAAAACTAGCATTAACATCTGTGTTATCCAGGGTACCGTCCCATTCCTCATTGTGTAACATGTCAATAAATTTTAAGACTCTAGACTTGGTTATTAGTCTTTTCCTAACAAGCCTATTGTTCTTTACTTGAGATTCAAAAACATTATTTATCATCAAGTATTGTGCATCATGGTCTGAGAGCCCATTCATTACCGAATAGACTTGAACAGTGTTTAACCTATTATAATCCAAAAATATATTGTCTATAGCAGTGCTAGATTCTTTGGTTATCCTTGTAGGGAAGTCGACAACGCGACATAAATTATATGTATACAAAAGTGAGATTATCTGGTGAACATTGTTTGAATTACTTAAAAAGTTTACATTAAAATCACCACACAATATAATTTCTAACTTAGGCTTATATAACAATTTTAAAATTATTTCTAGTTGATTGACAAATTCTTGGATGTTACCACTAGGAGATTTATAAATACATAAAACTATAAAAATATTGTTACCAATTTTCGTCTGAATTGCACAAGCCTCTATGACCTTTTCAATACAATATTTGGAAATATCCACTACATTACAGCTCAGATCGGATTTACAGTAGATGCATGCTCCACCTCCAATATTATGTTGACGTGAAAAGTTGGAGGCCAAATAATAATTTTCAGGTTTTATTGTTAATAATTTCTGCTCTACCAAATAATGTTCTGTGATACAAATAATGTGTGGACTTAAGTCATGGCTATACAGCATACAAGTCAGTTCAACAATTTTATGCTGGAGCCCTCTTATATTTTGATGAAATACATTTAATGTTTTAAGCTTAGGCTGAGATTTATTCAGTCCCCGGAAATTCTGATGGTATATCTTGAAAGAGTTAACTGCAGGAACAAGTTCTACAGCCTCACAACCTATCTGAGCATGAGTATTTATATGTAGGGTGGCAGTGGATGAGTTGGGGGGAGTGATCTGAAGTATATCGGGTACCTTGTTATTATCCTTTACCATAAAAAATCATTTTTCCTGGTCACTGGAACTTTCTTTTGCCTGTTTGATGTTCTGGGACAAGTTTCTACAGGATCTAAGGTGGCCAGTTGGTTAAATTCATTCTCGCTATTTATGAGGATTTCGTTTCTGTTTACAGGTGCTATGGTGGTATCTCCCTTTATTTGATCATTTTTCCATCCTAAGCTAATTAAACCTTCTATCCTTCTCCCCAAGATGGTGGAAATTTGAGCTACTATTTGAATGGCAATCCTCTCCTTCCCTTGCCCATTTAGATGCAGCCCATGTTTTGTAAAGAATTCTCTGTTGAGATCATTTTCTAGAACTGATGTATGTGTATTGGTTTTGATGTATTTCTTTAACTTCCTATTGAATATTTTAATTTCATTATTAACGCAGGAGAAATCCTGGTTATTATCCAGCATTATGGTCTTGAAACCATTTTTTCTTTAATTGTTGCTTCACAGCAGTACCACTGCTGAGTCACTGTACACTTCTCTTCACTATGCTGCATTGCACTTCACTGACTGATGGACTGGCTTGCTTTCGTGCCTCTTGATTCCTTTTATAGGCATGTCACGTGTAGCAGAGGCTGTGGAACATTTGTGGATGACCTGAGTCATCTTCATCAGCCAATTTGTTTCTTGAACCCTCCACAGAGGATGAGGTACTGTCTGGGCAACATGATCCCACCATACTCAACTCCTGCAACAGAATATATAAATCACAATTAAAATAAAAATTGGTCTTGTTGATGTTCATTTTGTCAATTATCACTGCTTGTAATATGTCAAATAATACAAGCATTCTCACTGATCTTGGATACTGAAAGTGCTGGATTGACAGTTCTTTTTTTACGTGTATTGAAATGACCCCATCGTTTTATCGACATATGTGAATCTGTAAATGCTGTAGCTTTTCATTTTCTGTCAGGCACTTGTACAGGCACAGTTGTTCTCATAAAGATTGCATCTTAAAATAAATTGTAATTGATGTCTGTCCAACTTAACCATTTTAATCATCTTTTGATTCAGAATAGTTCTATTTAAGTATAAAGCAAAGAAGGTATAAAAAAGTGAATCTGTTCCTCTGCTTAATTGATTAAGCACTATGTCATGAAGTTGTATGAGGGAGCGGAGGTACAACTCCACCTTTTTTACCTCGCCACTAGATGCCACTCTGTTTCTGGGGAAAGAGCCCTCAGCATGCATTGGATAGGAGGCTGGATGATGTGGAGAGGAGAAATATTTTGCCCCTGCTGGGACTCAAATTTTGACCCCTTGGCCATCCACGCTGTAGCCAATTACCATGTGTGTGTGTGTGCGTGTGCGCGCGCGTGCGTGCGTGCGTGAGAGAGAGAGGGGGGGGGGCATAAAATTCGGCCCTTGCACTGCGACTGTCAATGATCTGTTGTGCTTCCCCTTTGGATTAACCCTTTATTAATCCTACACTTCGAATGAAGTGTAGGACTTTATTTATGGGGGCATCATAAATGTAACTTGGTTCCATGAATAACTGACTCAGGTGACAAAATCTTAAATAAGCTATAGCCTCACAGTCACATAGGATATGTGTGGCTTATTCATCTTCTTGTAGGCACCTTTCACAAGTTGCGTCATCTATCAGTCCCAGCCAGTTACCATACTGACTGCACTATCCCAGCTCCGAAATATACTATATCATAAATAGTAATTGAATTTGATTGAGAGAGATTCATGGATGGCGTTCAACTGATACAGAAATGTGCGTTGATAGTTCACTGTGTGACTGTAGAGGGAATGATGCAAGGGTCTTCCCTGCATTCAGTATTGAATGTCTTCTCAAATAACATCATTACTGATAACTGTAAAAAGATGATACGAACTCACTGTAGCTTGTTACCATATTTTCTGTGAACTGATGGAAGTGATCCTCACCTGCCTTCAAGTATGCAATGCAGCATTAAACAAGTTCTGTGGCACTTTCTGAAGTTGATCTTTGGAAACTCACATGTAATTATGTCTCTGCTTTCACAGCACAGTAGAAGTTGATGAGTTTACGAGCAGGTTGTTCAAGATATATGAAACAGTGCATAATGAAGGAACAGCTCAGGTAAGAAACTGTTAAATAATTACTTCTGTATCCGTATGTAATATGGTGAAGACCTGCAGTTCTATCATCTATTGTATTTATAATGAATATAGTTTCTGAAAAGACAGTGCCTTGATTATCGGTGTTGAAAATTATTATTATGTTTCTAAGGGATCAGAATTAACCAAGTCTATTGGGGCGTTATGTATATTTTTTTTTTGCCATTGATGGTATGGCTGATTGATTGATTTTAAGTTTATTGTAAAGACCATTGACCAGGCATGAACCTTGTATATCACATTGGCTTAATCAGATTTCATCCCTTTGGGTTATCTGATGTTAGACAACATGCAGTGAGTTAGGTACAGAATTTGCTAAGCAAGTGTAGCCCAGCCATTTTGTGGGTTGTTGAAATAAGCATGGGCGAGCACATATGGCATCACAAGATACATCATTAGGCTAGCTAAAATTTGTTCTTGGTAGCTAACTTTAGTCAGAAAGACACTAAACAGATCTGATTTGTAGATAAGAAATGCATGTAGAAATTTTGTGTTTAGGTAATACTTGCATTATATACACATTGCAGTATTTTCTTGCCATTATGATAATATCTTTAGCAAATGGAGAAGATGTATTTGTTTCTTCCAATTTTTATGGCAGATGTCTCCAGTGACCTTCCTGGTCTCTTCCTGTCTAGCAAGAGTCAGGTATCCATTAATGAGGTAGCTGTACCCATGGGATTTTTGTATGAGTGAATGACATAATAGTATTGGTTCTGAAAGTGTGGTTTTGATGTTGTATCTGCCATCTTTGAGTCTGTATTAATCATGAAGACACATTTTACAAAAGTGGAAATGCCAGTTTTGAATTGTTTATGTACATAGTCTTTTCACGATCTAGTTTATTTTTCTTGAACTTATATTAGAGTATGATGAAGGAAGCTGTTGTAGCCCTGTATTAATATTATACTTAGTAATACAGGGAGATTATCTGAGAGCGTGCCACAAATTGTTCACCCAGTCTGATGGAAGGCGCCCACTGTTTGTGTCAGCTTGCACTTTTTGTTTTCAGATTTATGACATAGTTGTCAGGCCAGTAGCCCATACATACTACAGTTTTCTCTCCAATATCACTTCAGTACATCTTTGGATGGCTACTGTGAAGTGAACATACCTGTTATGCAACTCATTTGTAATTTCAAGCTATTACATAAATATGCAGACAGTTGCCTTCTTGTGTCATAATGCCATGTGAGTGTTGAATCAAGCGTTTGTTTATAATACCCATGTGAAAAGTAAGGAAAAATTTCCAGTAGAAATCTCAGCATGTTAACAACCCAAAATGAAAGAAAAGGTTTTCATACAGTCAGAAATAAATTTAGATGGACATGGTTGTTTTTGGATAAAAATAGAACTGAGTCAGAGTATTGAGTGCCCACTTAAGAGGAACTGGGTGAAATGGGTGCTAGGCTTGAATGACCCCCACAAAATCCCCTTTGACTCCTTATACAAGGAGGGTTTAGGTTTAAAGTTTGCTCTGTTTCAGAAAAGGAACTTAATGCAGGAATGTGAACATTTTACAGAGGTACAAGGACTGTGTGCATAGCAACAGGGACAATTTCTGGTGTCTTCTGTGATCTGGATGGGTTTTGTTTGTGAGTTAAGCTGTGCATATTATTTGCACTGCAGGTCCAAACACACGGAGAAAGAGCTGAGAGAAGCACAGCTTGTCTCTCTTCTGCTGGGCTGGCCAAACAGTTTGCAGCAGGCTCTCAAATAACCTCCATGTATAATTCAGACAACAATACTTTTTTAGTTCATCACATTTATCAACACCTGTAGTTCTATAATGCCAGTAAGTCACCTTTTGCATATTTTCATAATTCATAATGTGATCAGTCATCACTGTCTTTCACAAGATTGACCTGTTTTCTGTGGTGATAGAAATTATTAGAATACATTACATGAGCCATTGTCTAATGTTGTGAAGTAACAGTTTCAATTTCCCAGGGAAAACTGATTCACATGGTATGGTTAAAAGAATATCTTGCGTGGATAGCAGCACCAATCAGAGTCTGGGTGTTTTTAAAAACTCTGAACTAAGTATATGTTTACCAAAAAGTAATGATAATTGTAATACCCCTGCAACAGCTATGTATGAGCTCTAAGAATCATGGCTCTGCACGGTGCTGTGAAAGGAAGGCTTCAAAGGGTTAATGTCATCTTCCCATCTTCTTGGTTTTCCAAGCTGTTTGCATGCTAACATTTTATATGTACACCTTCATCCAATTTTTGCCATGAGCCCACTTCATCATAAAAAGGTAAAGTCCCTGAGCTTAACTAATTAAGCCTTGTGCCATAAAGGCATATGGGGGAGTGGATATACAGACCCATGTTTTCTTGACCTTGACACTGAGTTCGAAGTGAATTGTTTAGCTTCACACCCCGGTTGCTTTAACCCTGGAGAAAGAACCCTGGTACCCACTGAATAGGAGGTTAGGTGGACTCCAGAGCCGGTCTGGATGAAGCATCATATATTTCACTGTTGTAGGAATACAGACTTCAAATTAGGAGGGCAAATTATTCAAACTGTGAAATATGCAGATGACCTTGTGTTAATGGCTAAGGAAGAAACTGTGCTACAGGGTATGATTGATAGACTAATCAAAATTGGAAGGTGCTATGGCATGGAAATGAATGTGGAGAAAACAAAAGTAATGAAAATTTCGAGACAACCAACACCAGTCACAATAAAGATAGACCAAAAACAAGTGGAGAATGTGAAATGTTTTAAATATTTGGGTAGCTTGTTAACAGATGATGGAAGGTGTACTTGTGAAATTAAATCCAGGATTGCCATGGCAAAAGCTGCATTTAGCAAGAAGAAGAATCTTTTTACCAGCAAATTGGACTTAAACTTGAGAAAGAAACTAGTGAAATGCTACACTTGGAGCATGGCTCTGTATGCGGCTGAAACTTGGACACTTAGGGCAGTAGATCAGAAACATCTGGAAAGCTTCGAAATGTGGTGTTGGAGAAGGATGGAGAAGATCAGTTGGAC